GCTGATCTTGATACCATATGAATATCGATAATTTATATCGTTTATGTTCGCTTAGAAAATTTGGATAATTTATTTACTATTTAATATTTTTTACTGTTCTTATACATTCGTAGTTTCTAGGTGACACACAGTAGTGGAAATCATGGACAGGCGCTGGCATTTGCTGCAAAGATGTTTGGAGTGTCTTGCACCGTAGTCGTGCCAGAAAACGCACCGAAAGTGAAAGTAGATTCTATACTCGAATACAATGCTGAAATCATTTTCTGCAAACCAACCATGAAAGATAGGTATGTATTTCTTGTTGCTTACTTGCGTAAATTTCTGATTATTTATCTCCTAGAGTTGAAACATGTGAGAACGTCATAAAATCCACGGGCAAAGTGCTCGTTCACCCTCATGATGATTTGAACGTCATGGCTGGGCAGGTAAAGATGATTTTATTACGTAACATTTTTTTCGGTTTAACCATGGAATTTCATTTGTGCGATATTTGTTAGCCATTTCGATTCCTTTTAATTTTATTTTTTTTCTTGTACCTTTGATCCTCTAACAATTATTTTTACGTCATATTGCACCAATCCTTGCTCTCTGTTGCCTAGGAAACCATTTTAGCGGACTACATCTCCATGATATTTCAGCACCGGCAGTGTTAAATACATCTGGCATAATTTTGCTGATTTGAGCAATACCTTGTTCCTAAATAGCGGATTTTCATGTTCATATTTCTTTCGCAGATTCACAAGACAGTCAAAAATTTTGATTTTTGAGCCGCAACTTATAGGTCAATTATTTTGTAAAATTCCGATTCCGCGACTTATCGCATGGCTGGCTTTCTCTTCTTTCTCTTAGTTGTTTATGGGTTTTGTCTTAACGATGAATTCCGTTGATCCAGCAAATTACTTTGATTCAGGCCGGGATTGCTCAATCAGTGCACTGTTGAACTTGAAACTAAAAGGCCCCAGATTTGATCCCTTGTTAGGTTACCTGCCTTTCTTCTTTCTGAGGTTAAAAATGAGTACTTCTCTGCGGTAAGGAAATTGGAGACTCGTACTATGCTTCCATATAACTACTATTGTCTTTGCTTTTAACATAGTGCAGTCCTGGCTTCCTCGTGCATATGGCAGCAACGGCTATGAATCGAGATTTCATTTGAACAGTCAAGCGACGGAATCGGTTTCTGATGCATGTAATGCACTGATTCCTTTCTCGAATTTTCTTCATTCTCACTGGTTGTCGATGTGGTCGACTGTTTGGTCTGGGTCACATCGCTGGCTGTTGAAATTCCCGACATGAACCATTGGTGTGGTTTGTTAGCTTTATCGCAGGTGTTAGTGAATTCTACATTGTTTGCTTGTATATGGCCGTTATAGTGATTTAGCTGATATTTACAGTGGTTGTGCTGATACCAATAATGTTTCCTTTACCAAATACAGCGATATACGGTAGGTCTCGCCGGACTAAAGTAGCAGTTCCGTATTTTGGGTGATATACTGTGATAATGAGCTTATAGCCGCTGACCGTGTGACGTAATGCC